AAACGTTCTGTTTGTATTCTCTTTGTGAATTTATTCGTTAAAATAGTGTGTGTGTGTGTGTGTGTGTGTGTGTATTCTTTTGTAGAGTATTTCTTTCTTAAAGAAAAAAATATCTCTACACGAAAACAACATATTTGATTTAAACTTCTTTGTTTCAAGTAGTTTTCTTTAATAGTCAACAGAGATTTAATTAATTTATAAAAACAATTTTTATATGAAACATTTCCTAAAAAAGTCTGATTGTAATCATTTAGTATTTTTTAAATAATTGTTATGGCCTGACAAAAAGGTATCTACATGGAAAGGAGTTCTGCTCAAGTATCTAAAACTTTTAGGTTAGATAAGATCTGGCGATAATTGTTGGACCAAAATACATATTTATGTAGAAGTTGATTGCCAGAATACAAAAAAATTTTGCAGTATCATTATGTTTAAGTATCCTGTATAATTGTTTGTTTGTCTTATTTGTTTTCAACTAGAAAATTATGATTAACTTATAGCTAAAAAAATTTACCATCTTTCAAAAAAATCTCATTCTAGGAAAATTCAATATAATCTGGTTAGACAATTGCCAGTTTTCATCAAATTTTTAGTTCTGTATGAGTTTCAGAAAAAAAATTCTGGCATATAAAATGTGAATTTTTTTGAGTTTCATATATTATGAAGTATTTATTACATAGTTCTGAATACATTTAAAGAAACAATATTTATTGTCGGAATGTCTTTACAGAACATTTGAATATAATTTCGTTTAAACTGCAAAAGATTATTATGTTGATATTATTATGTTGAAAATAATTTCTTTTAATTAACAATTTAATTTAATTCAAGAAAAGATATTAAAATGAATTTCTTTCATGTACATATTTCGATTATGTGTATTGTAGATACAATGAAGTGAGAGTACCGAATAATGGCAATGACTGCGAGATAAACCCAGATGACGAAGAATACCAGCATCAAGTGGAAGGAGCGAAAAATTATTGACATATGATACTGTCGCAATTATACCAAAAATAGCAATATTTGCCTAATTTTCACTTCAGTTGTGTTTCCAAAAAGAATAGTTTAAGAAATGTATATTTATTTCTTATTATTTTCTTGAATATTAAACATTTTATTAAACAGTTTTTTATCAACGTACCGTGTTAAGAAGAATGTTTAGGAACATCATGTTGTGTTTGTCGTGTAAAAAATTATTCGTATCTATTTCTTATGAAAATAGAAATGTAAAATGTATTAATTGATTAATTAACGCGTATAGTATTAATCGTACAAAAAGCCGAGTTACTTATCCTTTTCACTGAAAAAATGTATGCGTAACATTATATGATGTTTCAAGTAATTATCCATTTATAAATAAAAATTTTTAATGTTTGGACGATATCAAATAAAACATTAATTTCTAATGTATATTATATGTTTTCATTATCTCATAAAATTTTCTTTATTTTAAATAATATAATATGTTATAACGATTTTTAACTGAATAAACAATGCAAAATAAGCAATGAAAAAAATGCAAAAAAATGTGACAACATTATATGATATTCCAAGCGGTCGGTCACTCTTCCAATTGACTATGTTTAACTGACGCTACTTAACTTTAATGATCAAACGAAAACTGGTATTTTAAGCATAGTTTAAAGATTGCTTGGATAATGAAATCATTTTGAAACAATTTTATCAGTAGTATAATCAATAGTAGTATAATCAATATCAGTGGCATTTCGTATCAATATTTGAACATAATTTTGATAGGACGTTTGAATTCCCATTTTTTGATCATCAGGATGAGATTCAAATTTTGTCGAAAACATTGGTTTTCTTTCCTGTTTTTCGCATCACTTATGTAGGATAAGTGGAAGTTACTGGACTCCGTATTTGTATAGTCCATTGATATATGTAATGGACTGAGCGTTGCAGATAGATAAACTCAACAGCGCCCGCTGTGTTGAGTGAGAGGAACTACATTGGCGTCCTATGTTTATCTCTTTTGTTGGCATCTCATTGCTAATTTTGTCCTCTTAATGATAACGTTATGTAACGTTATGATAACGATATGTACATACACATCATTGTCTCAAATGTCTCAAGATAAGATAGGTATATTTTTATAATCTAACCTATTTTGATATTAAATGATACATCTATAATAGGTTAATAATATGCGCACATGTAATTCAGCTATAAATAAATTATAAACTTTATTTGCAGTTGGTGTCGACATTCTTTTGGAATTTTTGGAAATAGCATTCAATCATATATTATTTTTCCGCAAAATCTATCCCAAGGAAATTTTTGTTAAGAGAAAGATATATGGAATTACGATATATGTATCAGAACATCCAGAACTGAATGAATATTTATTAAACGTTCTAAACGCCATTAGAGAATTAATAAGGGAAGATGAAAACAGTGTTAAAGCCATTAATCTCACCTTTTACAAAAACAAGTTGCCGATAGAAAAATTTGTCTTTGATATGATTAAACTGCAGGCAGAACTTACAGAGTATGTGTTGAACAATGATAAATACTCTTTGAAATTTCAATTTTTTTATTAATCCTTTTTTTATCCTAAGGAAGGATCCATATTATTTAAAAACAGAAGAAGCATTGAAGACAATTTGCTTAAAGTTATCAATATGTGGCACATATTTAAAACCTATTCCCGAGAATTCAACCTTTTCTATTGAAATTCAGACATATGAAACTGCACATATCATTTTGAGTGAAAATCCAAAATGTGAAGACTTTCCATGGATTATTAAAGATGATGTAATGGAGATGACTGATAAAAATCTATTGCCACTGAAAGATATTAGAACAGATTGTTTAAACTTTCAAATATATGTGATTGAAGATACCGCAAACAAAACTTAAGATTCAAGTGGTAATTTATACTTTTTTACATTTTTATTTTATATAAAATATACAAGAATACATCTGTTTGCAATTATTAAACTTGTCCCATCAATTTAGATATAAACTCTTTGTCTCTATTCCACAAAATGTTACAAATAGCGTTCAATTGATATGAGCAATCAAATATTTCAGATCTTACTGACAATTTACTAGCATCAATCTTGATCACTTTAACTTTCCATTTGTCCTCGAATTCTTTAATTTGTGCTTCATCTATCATGGAACTTGACCAAGGTTTAAACCTGCAAAAAATTGGATCGAGTTTATTTAAAATTTTTTCATTTTGCGATATAACTAACAGAAGTGTTACTTTGTGCCAATCACTATATTTGCTGGTTTTCCTTTTACAGTTATCATTGTATTCATCAAATATGGAATGTCATTGAAACTTGATGCATCGTCGAAGGAAAACACAGAACATATTGCATCAACCTTATCCTTGCATGCCTGAAAAAGATTCTGCATCTCATGTTTTTTATTGTGAATGTAGTTCCACAAGAGCTCATATATATTATTTCTCAAACATACTGGCAGAATATGATTGTATTTTTTTATACTGATTTCAGAGGTGTCCCAGAATTGCAATTTAAATAGAACGACTTTATCCCAGATCTTTACAGGCCAGTAAACATTTGTTTTTCTTATTCCATTGGTTTCCATATAATTATTGGAATCTAGAACTCCTGCGAGTCTTGCTATTACTGAGGTTTTCCCCACGCCAGATCTACCTATTACAAAAATTTTATAAGTGACCTCCTCGATAGATGAAGGCAACGATGGTCTTTCCAGAATGCCTAAAATGTATAAAAGCAATGAATTTGAAAGAAGACTAATATGCCTTTTTACATTATAAAATTAACAGAAATAAATGGCACCATAGAATCTTCTCTTTTTAGACGAATTCACATAAAAATGATGTACTAAGGATTCTCCTTCTGCTGAAGATAACCAGTTCATATTAATTGCATTCATGCTTATTCGATCACTGCAGGATAAAAAGCGATGAAGTAAAATGCATAATTCCATATGACTGTGTAGATACAATTATTTTGCATTGCAGAAGTTTAAAAATTTAATAATGTCGATCGGGCGATCAAAGATTTGTTTTCTACTCTTGCTCAAGGCTGCACTGAAGTTTACTTGCTTTTGTTAAAGTTAAAGTTATAACAAGTATATATTTATTTCATTTCAAATTCAATGAATATACACTTCAGTTCATCTATAAAAACTAATCAGACAAATAATCAATCTGCATCAGTTCGTTCACATTATCGACCGCGTACCTAATACGCAGTAACATGCAACAGCGATCCTTCATGAGAACGATATTAGGTACATACATGGAGCAATTGGAAAGCTGCGTTGAGTATCGCGCGTGAAAAAGTGCTTTCTATTGGTTAACAATTGAAATATGAAATTTAAATTCAGGTACATATATAATACTATCAAAATATCATTATTACTTATTATAAAAATTATAAGAAATGTTATAATAAATAGCATTCGATGATTCGTATGATGCTTTCTCATAGCAATCAAATTATTCACTAAATTGTCACAAGAAACATGAGCGTAAGAGCCTATTCAGATAAACTTACATAGCAGCGTAACTATATGTATAAGGAAAATTATCTAATCGCATTTCTATCATGAGGACACATGTAAAATGCGATTGAATAATTTTCCTTACGCATATGGTTATGTTGCTATGCAAGTTTGCTGGATAGATCCTAATACATAAGTACTAAATATATAATAAAGCAAGATACGTATGTTGCGTGTACGCCCTCTTAGATTCGCAGAAGCGGCGCATATTTTGGCCAATGGCCGTACGTCCCGCCTTGGGATAAACCAATCGTCGGACGCGCCGTACTTGTTTGCGAATGAAACAGCGGTCACGATTGGCCATACAGTCGGCGTCATTTCGAAATGGTTGCGCAGCTAGCCAATGATTATAGCGTGCGCTACGTAATCAACTGTTTGCGACTGTTCCGCCATATTGTGTATGCAGCGCGGGTCAGTGGCGCGTGTATATGGGTCTTTCGTGAATATTTTCTTCCTTACGTCAAACGCGCGTAGAGTGCATGAATTTGTCTGTTCGATCAACAGGGCATATCGCACGTGTATCATGGATCCGTCTAAATTGAAAGTGGTAGAGTTGCGCGCTGCGCTAGGCGAGCGCGGCCTCGACACCAAGGGCAACAAGCCAGTGCTCGTCGAGCGGCTACGTAAAGCGCTGGAGGAGGAAACACAGGAGTGTAAGTCGTATCTGTCATGTGTATCATCAAATGCCTCTCATCTAACTTATTTCGCGATTACGCGTTATTTTATCTACTCGTGATAAATAGGCTATACCGCTATGCATCGTAGTGAGCTACACTATCTAATAATCATTGTCAGTCTGTATGGGCATAACTGACTCAGCTGATATCACAATTGATTAGTGCTGATAATTTACTAGAAAATTTTTTATTTTTATATTAGGCATAATCTATCATCAGCATCATATTTTTTCTTTTTGTTTTAATTTATAGAATTTGTAATTTTTATTTTGGATTTATTTTTGTTAATGTATTGACATTCTATATGATGATCCATAGTACTAAAGTTATAAAATTTTACATCTATACTACATTTTGCAGATGATTCAGCTTTGCATACCGAAAATATAAGTGATACAACTTTAAAGGAAACACAAGAGAGAATTATAGAAGGTATGCGATTATCACAACCACCGAGAACACCTAGTAGAGCATCTAGGAGTTCCTCGATGACAACTCCGACAAAAGTTTCCACAAGAAATACATCAAGATCATCTACAACTCTGAATTCTTCAAAGCAATCCACTCCAAGTAAATCTCAGTATGGTGAAAAAGCATATGAAACATTGATGACAATATCAGAATCCATCTCTGAAGAATCTGTAATGCAACAGGAGGAAACGTCTAAATTATCTCCTGAAAAGTATAGAGAGGAACAAGAAGACACATCAAATATTGTTCAAAATAAAATTTATTCGTCAGTATCTGATAATTATGAAGAGGAAGAGGCAAAACATGTTGATATTGTAGAAGGTAGTAAGTATTGTGAAGATGTTCTCAAAGTACCTGCGATAGAATCATCTGAGAAACCTAGTACAATTACACATATAGATCAATTTTCTATAATTCAAGAAGATCATCAAGTAAAGAGATCTAATGTAGATGAAGATAATGAAGTCCAGACAACAGAAACAAAAAATGTTACAAAATTGGAAGAAAAAACAGAGATTAAGGATGGCATTAATAAAACACAAGATACTTTTAAGAAAAGTATTAAAGAGGATATTTCAATTGAAGAAAACATTGAACATACAGAGGATAGATGTAATATTAAGGATAATATAAACATTCCGGAAATTGAACAATCAACACATGTGATACCTGATCAGGTAGATAAAATGTGTGATATTGAATTAAAACATGACGAAAAACCTATTAATGATGATTACATAGTGCAAGATGAAAAAATGGACATTTCAGTTAATGTAAAACATATAGATGAAAAATTGGATAGCACTAATATTCCAAAGGATAAACAGGTATATAATTCATGTTTTATTAAACATAAAATAACTATAGTGTTAGGGTAATGTATAAGTATTGCCTTGTAAATTCATTCGATATATTTCGATATTTTTACTTGTGCATTAATTTATATTGTCTTATTTTTATTTCTATGAAAGATTACAGAAGATTCAAATCAAATGGAATGCAATGACAGAAAAAGGAAAAGATCTTCTAGCCCAGCAGAGGTCCATCAAGCATCTCCTGTATCACAAAAAACAGAGGATGAACCAGATCTTGATGAATCTGTTGTAATTTTATCATGGTGTAAGATTTTAATTAAATATTGCATATTTTTTCAAATAACAATTTTTATTCAACATGTACATGAGTGTTGAGTAGATTGTAAATT